TGGATGCCACGGCGGCCTGTTTTTCGTTAGCATGTCCTTGGGGTCAAACAAAGTCAACGGTGATGTTGAGAAGCTTCTGCGGAATTGCAAACATTTGTATGCTTGATCTACACTGATTTAAATATTCCACACTTAAATCCACAAGACACATACATACACCACATATGACCCAACCTCAGCGACTTACGCGGCGGATAAGGCCAGCGTTCTCTTTTGTGTTGTTCGTATAGTGAGCGTCTCGTTTGTGTGAAATTAATCCTACCGCGAGTTTGATAGGCTGCTGTTGTATTACAGGCGTTTGTATTCTTGCTGAAAATACACTTGAACTATTCCACCCAATTCCAACCAGCTGGGCACCCGATAAATCTCTTATATAACACACGGAACGGACGAGGCAAGCGCCCTGCGCCGAAAAGGACCGTGATCAGTGGTCTCATGGTGGTACAGGCCAGACGACCACTGGCGTCATATTACCAGCATTCCGAAGCAAACAACTTCCCTATGGCCAGACACGGCAAGGAAAACCGTTGGTGCGAATATCTGAGACAGCGTCCCGTATTGGTATCTGAGGCAGCTCATCCCACACCGACGATAACATTCTACCGTCTTAAAAGCATCACAACACTCTAGCACTGCAAGCAGAGCTTTCCAGCAAGAGGCTCAACACTCAGCAATTTGTATGAGGGGATGGGACCTTTCTGCGACCTTGAGGGGGGGGGGGGCGGGTAAACGAGGGTTTTCACCGACCGCCTTAATGCAGCCGACTAAACCTCCCCGCAACATGCGAGTGTGACCAGCGGCGAGGGCGTTGGCTCTCATAGATCGTGGTCCCCAGCTGGTATAAAGCTGGCCGGTACCGGTCCACAATTTATCAGCAGACGCCAGTGAGGGTTCAGCGATGAAAGTCTGTGTGCGTTCCTTCACCGTACCCTTGCGATGCTTTCTAAGCGATGTGCATCACCGATGGAGCTGTTTCATTTCATCAGGAGATCCAGTCCCCAATCAGCTTGAGGAAACGTTTACACACTAGGGACTATCAGTGGCATCTTTGAAACATGATATACAAGAGGTTTCGCTAGTAATTGTTCGCATGCTTTTAAATGCAGCTGACTGCTGAAACTATCTGGCTGCTGAAAACGGAAATGCAAGTCAATGCTAAAGTTGACAGAGTCAATGCCGAGAGTTGCCGCTTCAGAGTGACCGCTCGCAGCGAAGGCGAGACTCACTGGTAGTGCTTTGACGCGCTGCAAGGCGACAGTGTTGATATATTAATGTGAAATAACATAAGAGCATTACATGCGTGTGATTTGGCTTTTTCTCGTGATATTGTTGACAATTTTTTTCTTTTCTTTGTGACAGTATCGTTGTCTTTGCAGTTGCTTTTGCGGTTGCGTTTTCGATTACGGCGCTCTTTCCTGGGTTATTTTTCTCAGAGTTATGTCCGCCCTCATCTAGCAGGTGTTCGAATAGTTGTGTTACCTATTACGTAAAGCAATTCGTGACCGCGACATTCGCCGTTGCATCCCTTCTTTCTTTTATCGTGGATCCCTCGTTAGGCGTTATGCGTTACGGTGGTGAGCTACAGAGAATGATAGTGAATTAAGCATTAGGTTAGGAAGCGACTTCTCTGAGGTTAGATGCGGCAAGGCAGCCCTTTGAGAGTTTGCGAGTTCTAGGTCCGGGGCATGCTGCACGCGCCAGTTATGGATAGGTCGGATGCACCCTTATGCGGCACCCGTCCGAGCGTCTAGCAAATACCGCACAGTGAGGTCCCGGGCCAAGCCTCGGCGGATAGACCCCCAGGCGCGTGTAGTCTTGCCCCACCGTTTTCCACTGTCCTTTATTCTGTGTGCATCACCACAGGCACGAATGGTTAAATGACCATATCTTCAACATAAGACAACACAGCTAATGCGTTGAGGCTTTGACGTGATTTTACTAAGATGGCGCACATGTCTAAGTAAAATACTTATCGGTGTTCCGATTTTGCAAGCTGTTGAATGCAAATGGCTGTTGAATATAACAATTTTGCTATAGGGTGATTTTGATCACACTATCGCTTTATTGTGTCGTGGAACGTTTTTGTGACGTTAGAGTCACTGCGAGTTGTGCCACGTCGGAGTTGCCGCTGTTGCGAACGGCGAGACTCACTCGTAGTGGTTTGACATGCCGCACGGTGACTGTTGATCTATGAGTGTGACCTGAACCTACGATCGTTAAGATCGTTGCGTGAGAGTGGGCTGTTCCTCGTGGCATTCTTGTATCTTTCGTGATAGGATTTTTGTTTTTGCAGTTGCATTTTTTATTACGGCGTCATTCCTGGGTTATTTCTGTCTTTTGTCTGCGTCATCTACCAATTGTCCGCATGGCTGTGCTACCTATTACGTAAAACGGTCCGTGATCGCGACATTTGCCATTACATCCTTTCTTCCCTTTATCCTGCATTCGTCGGGATGACAATGCCAAAATACGTTTTTACGTGACGTAACTATGATGGCATACATATCTGGATGAAATTCCCCTAGGCGTTCTTATGGATACTAGGCTGCACAAGCTCACGTGCCTCAGGCTTAGAAACAAGAGCATTTAAAGTGGTAAACCAGACAGGGTCAGAGTTGTTTAGCGCAGAGAATCATCATGAATTAAGCATTCGGTAGCAAGAGACTTCCCTATGGTTAGATGCGGCAAGGCGACCCCATGGGACTTTGCAATTACCAAGCCCAGGGCAGGCTGCACGCTCAGCCATGAACACGCCAAATACCCCGTTATGCGGTCCCCGTTCAAATGGCGAGCACATACCGCACAGAAGGACCCCGAGCGAGCTGATGCTCGGGGGATAGACCCACAGGAGTCCTGCTCCACCGTTATCTATTGTATTTTGTTCTGCATGCGTCACCATAAACACGAATGGTTAAGTGGCCATATTTTCACCAGAAGCACGACGCAGCCAACGTGAAGGGATTTTCACCTGATTATTATGATGACATACATGCCTGGGTAAAATGTCTATAGGTGTTCCGGTGTTTACTAGGCTCCACAAGTTTACGTCCATCAAGCTCAGAAACAAGAGGATTTAAAGTCTTAAACCGGACGTGGCTGTGCCTGTAAACTTCAGAAAATGACCATGAAGATGTGCATCTCACTTCAGAACCCAATACAAATGTGATACAGTCCCTTTAACGAAAGTGATTTGAAATATCAAAAATGTTTCTCTTCTCCAGTCACTGCTTCGTTGCAACAACGCAGCCATTATATGTCCGCACGGTGATATCAGCTCAAAGATGTTAAAAAAAATATGTCAACATAGCTGGAATGCCCTTTTGTCCTGGAGATGTTTATAACCATTGCGATCTCATCTTTCCACTTGGCACCAATGACTCGGAAAATATATGACAAACTTTGCATACAAATTTTTGTTCAGCATCAACGTTCTTTGGACTTGCTTCTCTTCTTCCAGCTCTTTTCAGCAACAAATATTGAGTTGATTTTGTCCTTTTCAGATGGTAGTGTGTGCTGTCCTGGCCGTCGCGGCTGCCCAGTACGCCCAGCCCTACAGCGGCCCGGCCTACTCGGTACAACCGGACGTCCGCACATACTGGACCAACCTGGCCGCCCCCTATACCAGATACGCTGCTGCCCTCTATAACGGCTTCGCTGCCAACTCGGCCGGCCGGTGTCCGCCCCCAAGACGGCGGTCTCACCACCAAGTTCGACGGCAAAATCAGCGTCTTTCCTATCGTCGGCTCCTTTTAGTTACGTGGACCTCAATGGTGTGAAACAGACGGTCGACTACGTTGTGGACGAGTCCGGCTACCGCGTGTCTGGCACCAACCTGCCGGCGGCTGCCGTCACCGACGTGAAGACGCTCGCTAAGACTAAGAGCGGCTGCCGCAAGAAACGCAGCGCCCTGCTGATCAGCGATACCCCTAACGTGGCCGCCGCCAAGGCTGAGCACGCCCGCCTGTACAACGAAGCTGCTCTCCGTGTCTACCCTCAGACGTACGCTGCCTCCGGCGCTCCCGTCACGTTCCAGGGCACGTACGGCCCGGAGGGCGTTTCTTACTCGTACAGCTCTATTCACCCGAACCTTACCTTCGCCTGTTTTAGTAAGTGCTGTGAGCCTGCTCACCTGCAATCAAATGATACCTTTTCATTTCTGACTCGCTCCCAAGCGTTCTGTTTGAATTCGTATGTCGTCACACCGGAAAGCTGTCCTAGTTCGTGCATTCTCTCAGCTTGATGCCAGGGTACGTACATAGTTTGCCAAACTTGGCTGGTATGTGAAACTTAAAGATGTGGACCGTGTTTGATGCAATACAAAATATGCTTTGAACCAGTGGTATGGATATATTTAATGGAAGGGTGGGGAACATATAAATCCTAATTATTCACCATTCCATGCAGTTCACAGCCACGCGTTTTTGGAAACTTTAAGTCCTCTTGTTTTTAAGCCTGACGTCCGCGAACTTCTGCAGACTGTTTTTGGCAGGCTAGTTCGAAGTCAATCAGACATCCACGACGCCATAGAAATATCACGCAAATGACACCACCTTGTTGGCCGGGCAGTGTTCAGTGTCAATACGAATATGATTATAAAATTATTCGTGTCTGGCATACATCAGCACGATTCGTGGCATCAACGGACAGCAGGTGGCCTGCAACTACTTTAATAGGTTGAGTACAAGTTTCCAACACGAATCATTTTTGTGCTACGTGATACGGGAATTTCTGCAGTGATAGGAGTTATGATTGAAAGAAAACTGGGATGGAAGAACGTAGGAATAGCGCCATATCTGGATATGTAAATGCAATAAAGCAATACAAAATTCAGGACGAATATAAAACACCACGAGAAAAGGGCTCAAACACAAACGCATGACGATATTCTGGCTCAACAAGCACGCGACAGCAAACATCCGCACCTCTCGACGTACTCACACGATGCCGTATTCATGAACATATTTGATAATTGCTGATTGTCGAGAGCAGTCCTTTTCACTTAAATCTAAACCATTAGTTACAAGTGAGCTGATTTTATCGTATCTGATGCTCACCTCAATGTCTTCAAATGTGGAACATTCCCATTTAAGTGCTCTCTTTGTGTTCAGTTGTTGTTGAACCGAAAACCTGCCGTGTTTAGTGCATTCTCTCAGTTTAATGCCAGAGTGCGTATTGATGGTTTACCCATGTTTGTTGACGCCGCAAGTGGTGGGTGGGCGGAGCGGCATTCCAATTTCCCTGCAATGACGTTGCGTCCCCTCCATTTTCGACCGTTAAGATGCACATTTTTCGTTTTTCTACTCATGGAGCCGTCTTCGCGGCACGCTGTCCGCCAGATTCCAGTTTGACTGCCCAATCTCGTGTGTGGATAACCGATGTGCAACCCAGGGTTGTGTTAATATCGCGAAATCTTTCAGCTTTCAGCTTTCCTTCCTCACGACGAATGCTTGGTATCTCCCCCTATAGCGTTTTGGGTGCAGCACCTGAGCCGGTGGACCCCCCCGCTCCGATGACGCCGGTAGCTCCCTCCGTGGTAACTCTCTGTGGTGGCTCCCTCTGTGGAAGTGCCGACTTCGCCGTATGCGTTACACAGCTGGTGGCCGCTCCGGCTGTGCCGGCGACGAAGCCAGCAGTTTTCCTCGCGGCGGAGCAAGCGGATATCTCCGTGGCTGTGGGGGAGGTTCGTCCTGGTAGTTACGGCGGCTTCTTCCGTGGCAGGGAGAGCGGGATCTTTCGTGGCCGCGACATTAGACTCTCCAGCAGCAGCGACAGCGCGTTCCCCACGGTACTGGGACCGATTTCCCCGCGGCATCGTTTCCGTGTGTGCCAACTTGGCTTCGAGACATTTTAATTATAAATTTGATGCATACGGTTATTATATGTACCTCATAAACAGGGGTTTCTGAAATGCGGTATATTCCCACCAAGATGCAAGAAATGTTCTTGCTGAAATTTTTGCAAGAAAAGGTTGTACAACTTTGGCTAGCTGAGATACGCTGTACAGCATGAGCAGCATGGTAACCACATTTGTTTCATATGTGTTTAAGCTATGAGAGGTAGCCGTCTTATAAGGACATGGTTTTAAAGGAAGTAACGATCACACCATCTGCACTAACTAGCAGTTTTTGATCATCCATGACAACTTAACAGATATGCAGCATCTGTCATTCTTCCCGCTAAAGTAAATCTCTTTATTACCCTAAACCTATAGACATCCAATCTGTTCAGATTCAGAGTTTTGGATAGAGAGCGACATGAAACAGGATACATTTCACATCATGTATCAGTGCTTGTTTTAAACAGCGAAGCATTTTATGAATTCACAACTGGCAAATATTCCAAGCCAAGAATTCTGGTTTCTTCAAGTTGAAGCCTGAAACATGCTGTTCGAAACCATATGCGTTTATAAATACCATGTTTTTCTCATTGTTAGTGAATATATACAGTTGGGATACTTTGTATTTCTGGGCAATATACGAGAAATCTGCTAAATTGTCAACATATTTTGACTTAGTATAGCTGTAAAGCACACAGCTTGAAAAAGACATAACTTTTTGCAGTCGTGACATGTCATGCTAACTTTGCCCCAGGCATGATTGCAGCTCGTCAACAGCCTGCACCATAACAACTGAGTCACCAGCCGTCATGCCCTGCGCCTTTGATTTCTCTTTTGTTCTGATATCATACCGATATGGAAAATAGGTAGTTGGCATGGTAAAATGCAAACGGAGATAAACAACTACGCCTTTCAAATAAGAGCAGCCCCAGGGAGGTAGACAGGCAAGAATCTACCACCCTTTTATGAATATGGTATACAAACGTCTGAGAAGTTCGGCGAGGGAGGAGGGTCCGTATATACCGTTTCTTTTTGGGCAACACCATAGGGCTGAAATCTAAGTGCACCAATCGTGGCTGGTCTTAGATGCTCCTCAGGCTGCACTGCCACTCCCGTGTTTATATTTTGTCAGACAAACTCTATTTCCTGTCTGGCCCCTTTAACGTTCATCTGCTGGTATGGGTTTTTACATTTTTTGTGTGTCATTAAAAAAAAACATTACAGATGATCTGCGGTGATATGAACAACTGAAATGAGTTGAAATATAATGATAAATTTGAGCTTCAACGATTTCAGTGGGCCGATGTGTGCATCTTTCATGTTAATATATTTGACCATCTCTAACGATTTCAGGGTACCAATGTGTGCATCCATCTGCAACAACTACTTTTGCAAAGTCTACGACGAATCACGAAGGAACTCTTAAGTGTTTCACGCTTATAGCTTCCGCAGACATGCCGACATCTGTAGTCACTGAGTACCTCACTCCGTTGGTGCTGATATTTGGTTTGTCGACCTGCATATATCCAAGCAGTGTTCTATTGCACTACATTCGGATAGGGGAGCATCCATTAAATCAGCGGCCATTGCTGTTCTGGCTCTTTAAATTGCGAGGGCTCAGGGTCTGAAATTGTCTATTTTACTTGTTTTACTAGTCGATAGTGCAAAAACATAACCTTGCCAAGTGAGCACGAGTTGACCATTTTCCTCTTTATCTCATCTTGATCCACTATATTTATCACTTCTCCGACCTTTTGCGCCTTCAAGGCAAGGAAGTGCGTAGAACAATAAGGGGCACATTATCATGACCGGTCCAGGGCTAAAGGGCCATTTCGTTCCAGTGCACAGTGCGTTCCGGCTGCTGTTCTGACGACACGGAGGTCCCATGGTCGATCCGGAGACACTTAAAAAGGATGCATCATGCAATAAACATGTGCTCTCACAGTTTGCACTTCATAAGCACGTGCTAAGGGGACTGTGAGCGGTCGTGCAGAGGAATCAAGGCGATATAAAGTGACGGAATGAAGCCTTTGCTACCGAAGGGATCTTGGGTTTGCCCCTCAATACCTGCATCCGGCGTCTATGGCAGGATGATATGCCGCCTTTTATGACATTACGCAGTCTTGTCCAGTAGGGTTGAGCAAGATCGCTGGTGAACTAGGCGAATAGGATGCATGTTTAATGTAGAACAAAGCTACGTTCAACACCAATAAGATCTGAAAATTGGGAGTGGGGGGGGGGGGGGGTAAACTTTGTATGGAATGTATGCAGGTGAGCAAACCAAATTTAGTCATCAACTGAGTGAGGCACTCAATGACTGCAGATGTCTCTATGTCTGAGGATGCTGTAAACGTGAAAACACCAACAAGGTCCTTCCTGTTTTATTGTCGACTTTATGAAGGTAGTTGTTGTGGATGGATGCACATAAAGGTCATGAAATTATTTGAGGCGCTGAAAGCTATGATATCATATAAACGCATTTCATTTGCCCTCCCTGCCACCTTGAATTAGCGCTTCATATCGACTTGCAGACATGAGTAGATAGACTGACCTGGGCGAAGCTGGTGTGTAATGCTACAGAGACAACATCCATATCACTAGTAGTAAGTGGATGAAATAGGGATGGGGATGGATCGGCGGTCTGTTTTGCGTTGGCGTGTTCTCGGTACCAAACGAATGGTCAATGGTTAACGGTACCACATGGTCGACGGCGACCTTGACAAGCTTCTGTTGTGTTGCAAAGATGTGTATGCTTGCTCTAAACTAATATAAAATATTCCACGTCAATTAAACCCACGAGACAACATACATACGCCACACATGACACAGCCCCAACGACTTACGCGACGGACGAGGCCAGCATCCTATTTTATTCTTGTTTTTTATTTGTGAGTACAGTAAGCTTCATAGGCTGCTGCCGTATTACAGACAGTTGTATTCCTGTTCAAAACTAACTTGAATTATTCCACGCAGATTCAACCAGCCAGACAGTGTACGGGTTTTTTTCTGCGGTGGACGCCGTGCCCGACTGCCTGGCCGCCGCTGGATATGCGCCGCCGGCTGCCGCTGTCGCGTCTCCCCACAAGAGCGAATTTATAATGAGGAGCCCATTGGTCAGCATGCGAGCCAGGTGATGTTGCCGCACGACTCGGCACGTTGTGGATCCGGTACACCCGACACCAACACACTGATGTGAGCCACAGAGCTAGGATGAAGCGGGTGACCGGGGCATTGGCGGGATGGTGGGTCCGATCAGGCACCATGAACGTTTGTCTCCCCGCCCATGGCTGTGCGCCCTTAATCACGGTACATCACCTTCACCCTTTAGCTCGCGATAATATTTAAACGGGGCAAAAACGGAAAAAACATGCATACTAATACGCCCACTGGCAAGGGTCCCACGCACTGGCGAATTACATTGGCAAGAGCCCGCTGGGTAATGGCCCTGGGACCACCCCCCCCCCCCCGCATTAACTAATCCACGCAGACTCCATGCACTTGGCGCCCCACCGCACTCACTCCAAGCATCCGCATACGCTGGCGCCCACATCATCCCATTCATCCTTGGCTCACACGGGGGTGGGACCCCGCCCCGGGTGGGACCCCGCCCCCCCCCCCTCTTATTTCCTGCGCCTTGGCATTATAATTGGCTCGTTTGTGTGTGCCCTCGTTAAGTCAAGTTAAATTCATTTGTCACATTTCGATCTTACCATAAAGCCACGTTTAAACCCTGTTAAAAGTGTATCGCATTAATTTGCTAGCTTGGCACCGACGCAGCTGCTGGGCCGACACCGGGTGTCCGAAGCTGGACGGCGGCTCGTTCCCTCGCCTGACCTCCAGGGTGAAGGCTCCCTTTTTGGACGACGTTCCCCGCCTTCCGTCCACGATGGGCGGTCCACCATTCGCACGACCACACCCACCGCTCGCAGCTTCCCGCTGCCGCGCATGCGCCTTAGGCAGCGCCCCGTCCAGCACGGAGGCGTCGCTTCCGGCATGCAGGGCACCGCCCCACGGAGCGTCCCTCAGAGGCCTGGGGATAGACAGCGCGCTCTATGGGACGGTGGAGCCTCTCGGCAGACGACGAGCGCCCGGCGCGACCTGCGTCCATGCCTTACGGTTTCCTAGGCCGGCGCGCTCTGGAGACTCGGCCTGACCGGCCTGTCCGGCGACCTGATTCCTCGTCGCCCTCCCTATGAGCGCCGATAGCAGGATCTCTATCCGTCCCGAACATCCAGCCACCAATCGCTCATAAGGCCTGGCGTACACCACGTCGGAGAAGATTAGGCTGACTCTTGTCCTCTTCCAAGGCGGGGACTCCACGGATAGACTCCGCCACCGCCATGCACAATCAAGCATCCCGGGCGGCCTCCACGGGTCCTGGGTCACATCATGACCAATGCCTCTTTATGCCGTCGCGCCTGGGGTCAAGCGGGAAATAATAGAACGAGTCAGCCGTCTCCGAAAAAAGAGAGAAACCTTGTCTTGAGCCGCTCTACCCACAAACATCTATATGCATAAAAGCAGGACTACGGTCGTCTGGCTCCTCGTCCTTGTCGTAGCCACGCCGAGCTGCACACCTGCCGGCGGGTCGCGAGCACTGGACCGCTCCGTCGCCATCGCGCGCCGCCGGGTGCTGCCCTCTGTCGCGATTGCCCATGTCGGCTGACAGATGGCGTCCATGTCTCCTTCCGTTCGCTGTCCCCGACGACGTCTCGCTAGTAACCTTCCCTGGTCTCGCAGAACCGCGGGCGATCCCTCGAGATGTAGCGGGCTCGGCACACCTCGCCGCTGTGCCTCGGTTCCCCGGCAGGCGGTCTCCCCTCGACCTCTAGCCAACATCTCGGGATCCCGTCCGGTTCGGAAAATTCGCTGCCGTTCTTCCCTACGCCGAGCCTCCGGCGTCCTTATCGGATCCTCCGCGAACGAGGTGGATCTTCGCCAACCAAACATGGACCCCGTGCATCGCTCGGTCAGAGAACGATCCAGACCTAGCGAAACGAAGAGGGTAGAAAACGGGGAATATACGCGCTCGCTGGGGGAGCCTGTGCGGCGCATGCGTTGGGTGGAGCTGGACCGCGCTAACCTATTAAACAGCGAGGCGAGCGGAAAAAGAAAAGAATATGAATAAAATGGGGGACAACGACAAAAAAGCGAAACAGAATACAAAAAAAGCAGCAGTCGACCTCACCCACGCGTGGATACCTCCCTGAACCAGCTGATTTATCGGGGCGGACGAGTGATCAAGCGAACGAGAGGGGGGGGGGGGGGGGGGGGGAGGAGCAGCACGCACGCAACGAAGTGTGAGCAGGCGCACCGGGCCGAGCTTGGTAAGAGCTCGGCGTCCCGCGACGAGTCGGGGGGAAAGATGGAACGCGAGCGACCAACTGAACGCGAAGCGAGCCTAGGCATGCGCGGACGTGCGGCGAGACCATTCCGCCCGTCGACCCGGCAAGGCGATCAAAACAGATGGCAAAAGGGCAGCGCGATTGTGAGCGGATCGCGCATGCGCGCTGGTCGTTCTCTGGCGGGAATTCGGCGTCTTGAAAAAAAAAAACAACAAAAGACGCACACACACCTGCGACAACGGGAGTGGAAGACCAAACACCCAATTGGCGGGAAAACGAACCTTGGTCTGTGCGGAAATCCCACCAGACTATGCAGTCCATCGGCCTAGGCAAAGCGATCAACAACGAATGGGGAAAAGGCAGCGTGGTCGTGAGAGAACCCGAGCATGTGCGCTGGATCGAACCCGTGAGGGTCCGGCCACCTCGAGCTACTGGAAAGAAGGAAAAAAAAACAACCGAGGGAACAAGATAAGGCCAACCGTTCACCTAACCCACATTCTACCGCCATTGCCGCCGGAGACCCCCGGGGACATGTCGGCGCGGCCCGCACGCCGCGCCTGGCCGCGACGACGACCTGGCGTGGACCCAGACAAGCCGCCGCGCCTCTGCATAACCTCCTCCACCGGCGAAATCCGGACAGCTACGGGGCGGGTCAACGAGCAGGCCGCCGCGCCCAAGCACGCATCCAGACGAAGCACCGCCCAACGCCGGGCCGAGTGTCCTCTCGCCGCCCGAGCCATCCTCATCCAACCTCGCTCCCTCGCTAAACCATTGCAACGCAAACCGTCATCTGTATTTACACACACAAGAAAACGAGGAAAAAATCATTCACACACAGCGGCACACCAGTCCGTCGCTTCGCGCGGGCTCAGTGCCGAGCCGCGTGGCACCTTACACACACACACCCGAGCCCCTCCCCTTTCCCCAGCTCCATGGGAGGGATCTGATAACAGCGGCCTACGCCGCCCTGTGGGAAGGGGTGAAAGAGCACGCTCGGAGCGTCAGCCGTCCAAATCCCGGCGGGATGGGGGACAACAGCCTGGGCACTCACATTGTATGTGCTGTCGCCTGTGACCGTCGTCCGCCGTGCCGAATGTCACAGCCGGGCGCTGTGAGCTGGGGTCTCGGAGGGTCGGCCTCGAGATGCAGCTTTAGGCGTCGGGCGCACTCACTAGCACTGTACTCTGTCCCGTATTCGGAGACCACATCTCGGCTGGACCACCGCGCACACACAACGGCGAACTGCCGCACACAACGCCGACAGGGAGACTCTACGCGCCCCGAGCAGCACCTCTTATACTCCTTTCAAGCCCACCCGCAACACGATCGGCGCGCGACTCGCCTGCGCCACCGCGTCCCACCCCACCGCGTCCACGGACTAACGCACTGCCCCTGAGCCGTGATCTTTTCCCTACGTTAACACTGTCCTGGGGCATGATCTATTGCTTCACATGGTTCACCGCTACAGTCTCTCCGGAGCCCCTCGCATGATGTTTTATCGATTATCGACACCTCTCAACTGGGTCGGCTCGCCCTCGTCTTCTCGCGTGACCCAATGGGTTTGCCGCCTCGCCCCTCCGTCCAATGTATCGCTAGGCCGGCGTGCACCGCTCCCAGAATCCGCCCCCAATGTGTCTCTAGGGCAGATCTCGGGCGTGGCGTCGCTGGCGACCACGCAAGGCCCGCCGCTCTCGCCTCGGGCGGGCCCTGCTCGCCCCACCCCGGCCCAGTTCCAACGCGGCGTGGCTATTCTGATGGCATCTGGGGCGACGGCAGCGCCGGCGCGGCGGGGGTTGCTCGGGCGAAACAGCAAACATCCTCACAACGTGCTATTTGCACGTTGCTGCGCGCATGTTGCTTCGCCGATCGCCTGCTCTCGCCTCCATTTCTCTTGGCGTGATGAATTATTTTGGCAGATGGGGCCGCCGTCACGGCTGTTTTGGGGAAAGCACCTGGCATTGTTTTGACGACGTGAGGTGACCGGTTGGATCGTCGAGCCGAGCTGCATTCATCTCTCGGCCTGATGAACGTGTTTGTTCGTGGGGGGAGGCCTCCACCATGGCCGGCTGGTTCACTTTCACACGCTCTGCGCGCGAAGCCCCTCCGGTCCCGGACGGGTGGCGCGCAAAACGATTAAGCATGGAAATGTACGCCTACAGCAGCCCACAGATGTCTTATATAACACCCGGGACGGACGGGGCCAGCGTCCGGCGCCCAGAACGGTTGTGCCCGAGGATCCCGTGGCGATACAGGTCAGACAACCACTGACGCCATATTAGCAGCATTCAGTAGCAAATGGCTTCCCTATGGCTAGACACGGCAAGGAAAACTTGGGGTGCGACCATCTGCGACAGCGTCCGGCGGCTCGTACTACGCCGGCGTTCTAGCATTCTACCGTCTTAAAAGCATGTGCATCACTGCAACACTGCAAATAGAGCTTTCAAGCAAGAAGTCATCACCCAGCTATTTGCACGAGGGGATGGGGCGCTTCTCGGATCTTGGGGGACGGGTAAACGAGGGCTATCACCGACCGCCGTAAAGAAGCCGACTAAACCTCCCCGCAACATGCGAGTGTTACCGCTGGCCCCAGGCCTGACTCCCAGTTAGGACGGCCTCCAGCCAGTATAAAGCTGGCCGGTACCGGTCCACAAGCTTCACAGACCCCAGCGAGTTCAGCCATTAAAATCCTGGTGAGACCTCCGCTTGCGATGCTTGCTAACAATATGCATCACGATGCACTGTTTCATTTCATCAGGAGATCCGGTCTCAGTTAGCAGCTTAAAGGAACTATTCCACACTTAAAGATATTGAGGCAAGCTTCAGATGTGATACACAAAGCTCGCTTGCAGCTGTTCGCATGCTTTTAAATGCGAATGACTGCTAAAATTAGCCATTTCGCTGAAAGAAAATATGGTTCGGGTCACACCATCGTTTCCTAACATTATTCAACGTTTTTATGACGTCAGTCAATGCGAAAGTTGCAAGTCAGAGTGATCGCTGTAGCGGACGGCGAGACTCATTTGTAGTGCTTCGACACGCCGCACGGTGGCATTGTCGATATATGGGTGTGAACTGAACTTACGAGCGTTATAAGCGTGTGATTTGGCCTCCTCTCGTGGCATTGCTGCATTTTTCGCGATAGTATTTTTGCCTTTGCAGTTGGACCTTCAAATACGGCGATATACTTAAGTTATATTTTCTCAGAATTATGGCCGCCTCCCCTAGCGGGTGTTCGAATAGCTGTGTTACCTATGGCGTAAAGCGGTCCGTGATCGCGACATTCGCCATTGCATCCCTTCCTCCTTTTATCCTGCACCCCTCGGGACGCCAATGGAAGTAGGTTTCACGTGGTGTTACCATGATGGCATACGTTTCTGGATCAAATTTCTCTAGGCGTTCCTATGAGTACTAGGCTGCACAACTTCACGTGCATCAAGCTCAGAAACAAGAGCATTTGAAGAGTTAAACCGAACATGGTCAAGGTTGTAAGCTACAGGGAATGATCAAGAATTAAGCATTCGGTAGCAAGTGACTTCCCTATGGTCAGATGTGGCAAGGCGACCCCATGGGACTTTGCAAGCCCCAAGTTCAGGGCAGGCTGCACGCACCAGCCATGAATAGGCTAAATACGGTCCCCGTTCGAGCGCCAAGCACATACCGCGCAGAGAGGTCATGTGCGGGCTAAGCCTCGGTGGATATAGCCCCAGGCGTGGGTAGTCTTGCCCCACCGTGATACATTTTCCCCTATAGCCTGAAATGGTCACGACTGGACGAAAGGGGTCTCATCCAACCCACCTAAACCCAGATCGATGCATGCAGTTCGCGGCGCAATCTGCCTATTGTCTTCCATCACTCGGACTTAAATGGCCATATGTTGACCATGAGCACAACACAGCCAAGCATTCAGATTTTCACATGAATTTACTCTGATGGCATGCATATCTGGGTATAATTCCTATCGGTGTTCCGATCTTTACCAGGCTCCACAATTCCACGTGCATAAAGCTCAGACACAAGGGATTTTAAGTCTTAGACCAGACATGGCTGTGGCTGTGAACTTAAGCGAATTGTAGCGCTTCGTTAACTTGGTAGCTGCCGTCCTGCGTTTCCCTTCCGAGAAAAGGAACTCCGATATTCTTCTGCCGCGGGCCTTCTATTAACAACGTGCCTCCTCCAACGCCAACCAGCGCGACCTCTCCCGCGAAAACTCGCCGGACACCCACATCACCTCAGACAGCTCTGCAGACCTCCGCGGAATGTCAGCGCTCGTCTATTGGGCAACACTTTCCCATTTCGTCTGCCAACCCTGAAACCAGCTGTTCACAAAACCTGAGGCATAAGTGGTGCACAACAAACTACATCGTCTACCGCACATTACAAACAGCTGACTTCGTTCTTCGTCGAGAATGCACCTCACCTAACCGCTAAGCTCGGTTCTAACATCCCCCTCACCTTAAACTAGACGTAGGGTACGAAAAATAACTTCACTTGGTACAGTACTGTAACTCTGACTTCACAGTTCACAGGGTCACTGCACATCACAAAAAGCACAATCACCAAACTTCCACAAATCAGCACAATCCCCACGTCAGGCGAAATAACCCCGTACCCCACAACTCTTATTACGTATAGGTCCCTGACTAGTCGAGGTACCGCCTCGGTCGTCGCACCTCACGACCGCGTCTCGACCGCGTGGACCCGGTTACCACCGGCATCGCCTCTTCGGCCGACTCCGTACCAGATGGCGCCACCAACGCTTCATCGTCAGCTCCAAAGGGCACCACCTGACAGGGCGACTACTGTGCTAGCGACCTCGGTGTCGCCGCTTGCTGGTCTCGTTCCACTCTGCCCAGGTCGTCCATCGGCTTCCTGCGACCATCCGCCTTCTCAAGCGCGTCACTAGGCGCTGATGTCGTCTCGTCGACCGTCACGTCTCCGCCCGTCACCGCGACCGGCTCCAGCTGCTCCGTCTGGCTGAGCTCTGCGTCGTCCGTTTCTCGTTCCAGCTGCTCCGTCTGGCTGAGCTCTGCGTCGTCCGCTTCTCCTTCCAGCTGCTCCCCACTCTCCGGCACTGGATCCTGGATACAAACGAGTCCATCCGGTTTAATAGCCTCGGTCCCAGCTTCTCTTCGGCCGCCGTCGAAGGTCGTCGTTGTCGTCACCTCCGTCTCCCCGGTGAGGTCCTCCGCTCCGTTCCCTTCAGTATAGCTCAATCCAGTGTCGATGCAGTCAGTTCCAGTTTCGATCTCCAGCACGGCCATTTCTCTCTCAGATCTGGGCTTCTCTGCTTTTTTCAGATGTCCGCCGTGTACGAGCCGCTGTCTCCGCCCCTTCTTCAGCAAGTAATCCGGCGGTCGGGCCTCCAGCACGAGATAGGGCCCCTCGAACTTTGTTTCGAGTTTTGCGGTCACACCTTTTCCTGCTGTGAAGTTACGACACCACTCTGTGTCGCCTGGCTGAAGCGTTGCCGGTCTTGTCTCGGTGCGAAGACTTTGCTTTCGCTGAATCAGGTCCAATGCCTTCTGATGCGCGTTTTTCAGATGATTTCTCAGCTTCACCAAGAACTGGCGATGAGACTGATTCTTGATGCTGTCCATGTCGAATTCACCCTCCAGAACAGTTCGCATTAGTTTCCCGTAGACCAGTTCTTCCGGTGAGAATCCTGTCGCACTGTGGCAAGCAGAGTTGTAAGCAGATGTCACCACCGGCAGCCACAGGTCCCAGTCGCGTTGGTCATCAGCCACGTAGAGAGTCAAAAGTTCCAGTAACGACCCGTTGATTCGCTCCACTTGCCCGTTGCAGCATGGATGGTAGATTGTCGTTCTCACCTTCTTCCCGCCCAGCAGTTGGCAGACTCCTTTGATCAGGGCATTCTCAAAGTTCCGTCCCTGATCGGTCAACAGTCTTCATGACGCCAAACCGGCAGATGACTTGTACGACACATCGCGCCACTTCTTCTGCAGTCTGTCTCTTCAATGCAAATGTTTCTACCCATTTGCTGAATTGGTTAGTCATGACCAAAACGTACTTGTGACCATGGTCGTTTTCCAGTAGTTTTAAGATGTCCGCTGACCAGTGTAGAAACGGCTCGCCTTCTACCGGTATGGTTCCTCTTCCTGCCTTGCACCCTGCATACTTCGGTTTCATCCTCAGACAAGAAGTGCAAGTTCCACAGTACCGCCTCACCTCGCGCTGTACGTTGTACCAGAAGAAACCGGCTGTCACACGGTGCAGTGTTCGCCTCACACCTCCATGCCCTGACATCGGGACGTCATGAGCCAGATGCAGCGCTCTTTGTCTGACCCTTGTCGGCAGGATCACTTGTGCTCTTTGATGTCCCTTCGAATTCCGCAGGACCATGCCGTTGTGTAGCCGCAAGTCAGGCAGTCCGGTGTAGAATTTCAGTTCTGCTTGCTGGGTGTCTGTCAACTTGTCCGTCTTCATTGGCTGCTTTTTCAGGTGGCGGATAAGTTGGCACAGCACAGGATCTGTCCGTGTCGCTGTAGCCAGGTCATCGAAATGATTGATGTCCGGTCTTCTGCAGCATCGCCACCGTTCTCGCCTTCCGTGGATAGCTCTTGCGCGTCCACGACTGTTGAGCGGTGCAGCCTCACAACTGGAGTCACTCTCAAGCCTTCCTCCGGTACAAACTCCGCCGCAGTTGGTCGCAGCTGGTGCTTCCTCGTGTCTGTCTCGAACCTGCGGGACAGCGCGTCCACATGCGGAATCAGCCGACCCGCCACGTGCTCCACGATGTAGTCGTACTGCCGCAACTGCTCGATCCACTGGAACAGACGGCCTGAAGGTGACTTCGAGCGGTGCAGGAACTTGATCGCCTCTTGATCGGTCTTCAGTGGGAACGGCTTTCCCACCAGATAGTGGTGAAACTTCGACGTCGCTTTCACCACAGCTCCCAGTTCGCGCTCAGTGACGCTCCAGTTGCTCTCCGCTGGCGTCTATTTCCCTGAAGCGAAAGCAACCACACCCTTCGACTGGCTCAGCTCTGCTCCCCATCCAAAGTTACTCGCATCGGTTGTCAAAACGAACTGGTCCGCCGGGTCAGGAGACTGTAGCACCGGGTACCACTGAAGATCCTTCTTCAGTGTCTGGAAGCCGATCGCGCAGTCCTCAGTCCACTCGAAGTTTGTCTCCTTCTGCAGCAAGTTGGTCAGATGCACTGACTTGTCAGCGAAGTGTGGGATATACTGTCGGTAGTAGCCAACCAGGCCCAGAAACTGACGCACTTCCTTGGCGCTGCTTCGTCTGGGCCAGTCCTTCACCGCTTTTATCTTGTCTACTGTGGGACGGATCCCCATCTCGTCGAGTTGATGCCCCTGGAAGATAACTTTCGTGACCGCCACCTGGCACTTGTTCGGATGCAGCTTCAACCCTGCTTGGCGGAACCGGTCCAGCAGCTGCTTCAGCACCTCCAGATGCTCCGACATCGAAGAGCTGTAGACGAGGACGTCATCCAAGTAGACCACTGCTGTTTCCCAGTTGAAACCCCCCCAACACATCCTCCATAACCCGTTGAAACATCCCCGGACTCGTTTTAAGCCCAAACGGTTGACGTGTCCACTGCTCGAGTCCATACTTGGTGATGAACGCTGTTACTTCTCGAGATTCCGGATCGATGGGCACAGCCCAGTAGGCAGATCGCTGGTCGAGCACTGAATGGACCCTGGCTTCCCTCGTGGCTTCCAGGAGGTCTCCGATCCTTGGCAGGGGGTAGGAATCGTGCTTGATGACTGTATTCACCGCTCGGTAGTCGCAGCAGAACCGGACTCTTCCGTCCTTCTTCCTGATCATCACAACAGGTGACGACCACGGTGACTTGGAATCCTCGATCACTCCTTGCTCTTGCAGCTTCTCTTTCAGTTGTCCTCGAAGATGCAGTGGCGTGCGATACGCCCGTTGACCGACAGGCGTGGTGATGACCAGCTCATGAGTCCCTTGGTAATTTCCTATGTCTTCAGCTGACTGGGAGAACACATCCTGATACTCCTCCAGAAGATTCTGGAACGGCTTCTTCTCCTTTTCACTCAGGTGACCCAAAGAAGGCAGCTTTAGTGAACGTGGTGTGCCACCCCCACGATCTCCATCTGCGGCAGTCACCTCCACCGAAGACGATGTGCTGCCCACACTAGCCCCAGCCGTGGCAGTCACCTCCACTGGATCAAAGCTTCCTAGTTTTGTGCCTGCTAGAATGACCACACCCTCGCCCCATGGTTGATCATACGCACAGGGACACCTGAGCCTGACATGTGCAAAGCAGGGGCAATCTGCACACCCTCAACTTCCTCAGGTTCAAACAGCATGGGTCTGATGAGGCCAACCCGGTACACCCTTATGAAGGTCTCTGAGCATCCTGAACATGTGACAGGGGTTGACGTTCTAATACTCCTGTCCCATGGGAACCTCAGGCCATCAAGCACTACCTCTTCTCTTCCACAGTCAATCACAGCACCCAGCTTGTGAAGAACATCTAGCCCCACAAGAGCAGAATCCAGCATGTTCTCCACCACGATAAAACTGTGCACTATCTTCTTGCTCCCAATATCAACTTCCAGACTTGTCCTGCCTAGACATCTCTGACAGCTGTCCCATTAGCAGCCCTCAAGTCTTCCTGTGATGAGGTCCACCCCTCTCCTACCTGAGCAGCTAGAGTCTCACTAACCAGACTGATAGAACTGCCCGTGTCTGCGATAACAGGGACCTCAATTCCCTGTAGTGTGGCTAGCATCCTCACCTCCACTGGGGCATAGTTCTCACCCTCCTGACTGGCTGCTGATCCGTTCTCTTCTCTGGCACTACCCATGTTCCTCTGAGACTCGGACACTGCCTGCTGATGTGCCCCACTCCTCCACATTGGAAACACTTCAGTGCCTGTCCTTCCACCTTCTTCTGCCCATCAGTTGTCTGTCCTCTCGAAGAGTTGGCCCTACTGGAACATTGAGCCGCAAAGTGACCCATCTTCCCGCACACGAAACATGGCCCACTGCTCCTCCGAACATCTCTGCCTGCTGTACCTTGCCTGGTCTGGCGAACAGGGTGGGTTTCTGCAGAGCCAGGACCATGGAGCTCCTTCTGCATCCTCTCAGCTGACTGTAATCTCTCCAATTTGCGGATGTAAGCTTCTATCGAGTATGTGTCCATGTCCAGCATTCGGGACTGCCACTTTTCTGGGACGGCCTTGGGTATCCTTTCAATCACTAGATTTTCTCTTGTGTCTTTGTCCACATCTGGCAAGGGCTGCACATACCAGCTCTTGTAGCTTGCTCACAAACGCCCTGAGTTCATGAGTCTCTTTCATTTTTATCTCGTTAAATGAATGCAACATTTCCCTGCGTTTCTCCCTTGGACATAACTTCTCCACAATCATCTTGCCAGCTTCCTCCACACTCACAGGTCGGGTCTCGTCTAACTGAAATGCTATCCACTCATAGTTACCCACGAATAGAGCCGGCAGCACATCAAGCTGATGAGTTTCATTCCATCCATTGGCTCTCGCGATTCTCTTGAATTGCCTCAAAAATGCTTCAGGCTCACCTTCCAGAAAATGTCGGCGGACGGAACATGCTTGATGAACCCTCTTTACGGCCTAAATCGGGATTTTCCTCCACCGTCGGCATTTCTGGCGCGTATCAGCACGTGGCCCAACTGGTAATAGCAAAATATCCCACCGCTGATGTAACGCTTCGTTAACTTGGTAGCTGCCGTCCTGCATTTCCCTTCCGAGAAGAGAAACTCCGATATTCTTCTGCCGCGGGCCTTCTATTAACAACGTGCCTCCTCCAACGCCAACCAGCGCGTAAGCCAACGATTGGCGTGTAAAATAGGTCACAGGCTGGTTCTACTAAATATTTTGAGCAGCAGCATCTTATGGCTTTTCAATTTTTCAGATGGTAGTGTGTGCTGTCCTGGCCGTTGCGGCGCCCAGAACGCCCTGCCCTACAGCGGCCTGGCCTACTCGGTACAACCGGACGCCGCCACATACTGGACCAACCTGGCCGCCCCCTATACCAAATACGCTGCTGCCCTCTATAACGGCTTCTCTGCCAGCGCCCCGGCCGGCGCCCGCCTCCAGGACAACGGCATCAGTACCAAGTTCGACGGCAAAATCCCCGTCTTTCTTATCAAAGGCTTGTTTAGTTACGTGGACCTCAATGGTGTGAGACAAAAGGACGACTTCACTGTAGACGGGTCTGGCTTTCGTGTGTCTGGCACCAACCTGCCGCCGGCTGCCGTCACCGACGTGAAGAGGCTCGCCAAGACTACTGCTACCAAGAGCGGCTACCGCAAGTAACGCAGCGATCTGCCGATCGGCGATACCCCTGAGGTGGCCGCCGCCAATGCTGGGCACTTCCGCCCGTACAACGCAGCCGCTCTTGGTGTCTACCCTCGGACGTACGCTGCCTGCGGCACTCCCGTCACGTTCCAGAGCACGTACGGCCGGGAGGGCGTTCTTACTCGTACAGCTCTATTCACCCAAACCCCCTCCCTTACCTTCGCCTGTTTTAGTAAGTGCTCTGTGCGCTGCTCACCTGCGAGCAAATGCTGACTTTTCATCTCTGACTCGCTCCCAAGCGGTCTGTTTGTGTTCATATGCCGTTACACCGGAAACCTGTCATGTTTGGTGCATTGTCTCAGCTTGATGCAAGGGTACGTGTTTACAGCTTACCGAGCTTGGTTTCATGAAAGGGTGGCGAACACATGCATTCTAATTTTTCATCATTCCATGCAGTTCACAGCCAAGCCCTTTGGAAAATTTACAGTTCTCTTGTTTTAAGCTTGACGTCCGCGAACTTCTGCCGACTATTTTGTACAGGCTATTTTGAGGCCAATCAGCCACCCACGGCGCCACAAAAACATCACGCAGATGGCACCACATCGTTGGCCATGTGGTGCTGAAGGTCATTATAACATGATCACCAGATTATTCGTGTCTGGCATACGTCAGCACGATTCGAGGCATCAACAACCAGCAGTTGAATTGCAAGCATCTTAATGTGGTGAGTGCAAATTTCGAACACGAACCACTTTTGTGCTACGTGATACGAGAATTTGTGCAGTGGTAAGAGTTGTGTTTGGAAAAAGACTGGGATCGAAGAACATAGGACTCTCGCCATAACTGGCTATGCAAATGCAACAAAGCAATACAAAATCCGGGACGAATATAAAACACCACGAGAAAGGGCGAAAACACAATCACGTGACGATATTTGGGCTTAGCAAGCGCGAAACAGCAAACTTTCTCGCTTCTCGACGTACTCAAGCGATGCGGTATTCATATACATATTTGATAATTACTGCCTTCAT